GGTTTATCATACCGATTGTGCAGATCTGCGGCCTACCGGCCTGGATACACGAGAAGCGCTCGGAATACGAGGTCGTCCTCGAGCCATTCGACTCCCCTCTGAACCTTGGTGGAGTTGTAGGTATATTCTACTCGTGCGGTAGATGTCGGAAGAAAAGACAGGAAGCATACCGACTCGCGACGACTGGCAACAAGAGCGTTCCCGTTGGTCCGGAATATCAAGCGCCCGAGATTCCCAAGCTCTGGTGTCAATCGTTCGGAGGGTGGAAGCGTGGGCATCCAGTCGAGCAGTCGAAATGCGTGATTATCCGTTCTGGTCGCTTTGTGTATGGGTGTATTGAAAGACTTAGGTTTGGAACCCGAAGCTGGCTGAGGCGAACGGCCTCACAACAGATGACATCGACGAGTTCCTGGAGAAGGCCGAGGACGTGTGGCCCACACAAGCCTTTGTTCACATCGAGAGAGGAGCGCGGCGTGGCAGCAACGTCGAGGAAGAGATAGATAATGGCTCGAGGCGTTCAAGGTGAGGCGACGGGATCCACTCGGTGGGCGTCGGATGGAGCGTCCGTTCCGAACGGACCGTTCGTTTTCAGTCGTCTTCACAATCCTCTGGATTTCCCAATGGATTACCGAGCGCCGTTCTCGGTTGATGCGGCATTAGGCGTGTTACACTTAGCGCAGTAAGTCGAATATGGCTAATGGTGAAAAAAAGATGAGGCGCTTTCAGATATAACTGTGACAAAGCACTACAGCTACTGGGGTGCCCTGAGTTCTACACGCCGCCAGGTAACGAAGACGATAGAGCGCAGCGGCAAAGCATCATGACGGTCAAATTGAGCCTGCCGACCAAGCCGTACAACAACAAGTGGCGACCCAAGGATAGGCGGGGACGAATTTCATCGGTAAGGTCGTTTGAAACGGTGGTTACTCGGGCCACATTCCTTTGCCTTCGAGAGGACGTTACTGTGGGGACGCGAGTGTAACTGTGGAAGGTGATTGTGGAATGCATCATATTCAGACACCGCATCCCCAGAGAACACGGCGCTTGTTGCCACCACTTTCACCGCAGTTATCAGCAGTGAAGAACGGCGTTCGAAATGATCATAGCAATTTCTTCATCGGTAACACACTCTTATAGTATCCACTGTTCATCGTGTACTTCTTCGTAGCCTTTCTCCATTTACCATTATTTGTTCATTTCTGAGGTGTTGTGTGGTGCAGTACGGTTCGTCGAATCCGAAAGCGGAACCCGATGGAGAACGAAATAAGATTACTCGTCGAGTAGTACTCGAAGCTACACATGGTGTACTTGGCAAAGTGACATTCGCGTGCCACTTGACGATTCATTATTCACGCTGAAGGCTTTGGCCCTGTACGGTTTCATAATGAAACTTTCATTCACGGGCAGACCAGTTTTGAGTACGGTGAAACGAGTACTGTGTGTCAAGGTACGTGCAAAATGCACCTTAGGCTTGATGACGATGTGGTAGTTATTCGTTTTTAACGAAGTGAAGCTGGACTGGTGAGGCAGATCCTATCGTTCCACTTCGGTTGCTTGTGCAACCTTCGTGCCCTTGTGCATGCGTGTTAACCAATCATATGTCTCCTGGAACGGCGCACGTTCCGTGCCGTACGGCTAAGCGGCGTTCATAACCTTTCCGCTTCAACGCCAATTCACTGCGTTCCGAATACAATGCTTTTCCCCAGGGGAAATTCCCCTACACCGCACTTCACAGAACAGAACTCAACTACACATCATGTAATAGCTAGTTGCCCCAAAGTTTGGGGCAAGTGATGTGGTTTAACCACAAACCCGCAAATGTGCAGACTAGAGCTGTAGTAGTATTTGGCTCCCTGCTGTGTTGACCACCTGATCCCCAAATGCTGATCCATCTAGCAGTAGAGTGGGATACTGAATCCCGATCTCCAAACCTCAGCAGTAGCCGCGATCAGATAGACAGATCAACATGACCAGTTAGTAAGCCAAGATACAACACGGCAACTTTGAAATACTGGTACTACGGCGTAATCCCCAAAACTCCCCAATACGTACATAACCGGTCACTCATGGGCCACGTCCACAACTACTTACTCAAACCACGAATTAGGTTTCGCATACCCAGACCTCACCGAGCCCGTCGACAGCGAGTGAAGATTACTTCTCACCCTGAAATCGTTCATTTCTTCACCAATATCTGGCAGCAACTCTCTCCACGAGGCTGTGCCAGCAGTTCTGATGCTCTGGGTAGGAAGTTCCTCAGGAACCTCCTGCTAGGAATCACGCCCCAATAACGTACACACACGTCCTACACTGAGCCGCCGAGATCTCTTATACCCAGTTCCACCAAATCACTCAACTGGCTCATCAACGGAGTCATTCCTCTCTTAGGGGGCCGATATCTCGTCTACTTGCTCGTTCAACCCACTTCATAGACTCCGCCAATAGTGCCATCACCTCATTATCGGTCTCCGCACAGAAGCTTGCTGAAGCTGTCCGGACATTGCATACCACACTGCGGAATCCAGAATTCCGCAAATACAACGTGCTCAGGATACGTGATAGCCTATCACTGATAAGAGATAACCACCAAATACCTAGTGCTTAGGGGGGGACTAGATCCCAAGTTGGGATTCCCAAGCCATAGGTTAATTGTGCTCAGAGCATAAAGCACGACCGCAGCGCTTGACAAGTAGATGGGGTGAACTCCGCGTCGCTGAACCTTCAGCTTGATCTCGACCAGGGCGGGGCATAGACACCGACTCTAAACCCACTTTCCCCCAATCATTGGGCCCAATGCATCTCTATCACTCCACGATCTCATAACGTACGGCGAATAACATCTCAACATGTAATTCCCTTTCATCAACTCAGCTCTTCATTTCAAAAAGGAGAGCGAATGCTTGAGGGACCAACTGAAACGAATCATCTCGTTTCTCACATATCATCCGTGACTCACGACCGTGACATCCTATTGAATCAAACAGGGACCGGTTAACCCTTCGGTAACCTTGAAAGACTGTCTGCTACCTGGTTGTCATCAACCGACACATGAACAAACTCTATTTGGTACCATTTGCCAGTAACTTCATCGTGTAAGGCCAACTGCTGAGCAATACCCTTCAGGCTTTTTTAGGAACCTCGACCGCAAACGCGATGCTGCTAGAAGTGCCACGACAGGGTCAGACTGACATGTAATCATCGCACTCGCAGGAATCCGACTTGACCAAATCCTAATAGCTACCAAAAAAAGATAAGAGTTCCCAAACTGACTGCCACTGACAGTCACCTATAAAAGCACCAAATTTGCAACACTCATATTCATCCGGAGGGTCAGATAATCATGATATAATCCCTTCTCCTCTTTTGAAGAACCCTCCCAGACCAGTTGGGCTCACATCGACCAATATAGACCATTTAACCCCTTGCAATTTATCAATGGGGGATGTGGTTTAATGGATGGTCGATAGTGGGGCCCTCTAAGTGGGCCCCACGCACAGAGTGTGCGTCACAGTGTGATTGCGTGCAATCACACTAGGGACCGTGCTTCTCATGGTGGTGGTCTCCTAGCCTGGGGCAAGTCAGTCCTAAATGTTACTGAAGTCGACTGTGATTGTACGGCGGAATGCTGCTGGGTGCTCGTGGCAACTGCCACCGGTAACATCTGGCAGATGCAGTGCATCCTATGCGCCTATCGTCCTCCTAACACTACTCATGTCGAACACTGTCTTAGGGGATCCTTTCATAAGATCACGGCTTTTAAACCTATTTGCGTGCTGGCCATTGGTGACTTCAACAAGCACTCCTTGGATAGCCTCTTTTCGACTACTCGAAGTCTGGGTCTTTCGCAAATCGTCCGTGAGCCGACTCATATACACGGTGGTACTCTTGATATGGTCTTCACCAGCTCTGATACCCACTGTTTCAAGGCCAAAGCTGATCCTATTGAGGCTCGTATCTCGGACCACTCGTGTGTTGTCACCACTATTCCTATCACACTGACGACGGACTCATCTGAGATGAGTCATCTCGGACCACGCGACCTGGCTGGGACTTCGGGGTAGCTGATTGGCTTAGGTTCCGTACCTATGCTTGCTGTAAGTTGAGGAGAAATCTTTTCTCAAATGGTTCTCCCGATAATGCTGTTGAGCATCTGCAAGCAGTACTCCGCGCTGGTTGACGCAACTTCGTCAAAGAGGTTCACATACCTACCTACCAAAACTCGGTGCCATGGTGGGACGAAACCTGTACAAGTGTTTTTGCCTCTCTGCTGAGAGCCTCTTCTACCGATTCTCGAGATTCGGCTCTTCAGCTCAAAGAAGCTAAGCGGTCTGCCTACAGTGACTCTGTTCGCTCTAAGCTCGTTGGTGGTCGACTTTCGTGTAAACAGTTCCATCGTCTCGCTAAAGAACTCTCGCTGAACACCAAAGCTGAACACCTATTCCCCATTTGGAACTGAGCCCTAGTGTGCTCACAACTGACGATGCGGCTAAAGCCGAAGCGCTGGCGGAGCACTTCGAATCCAAGATGATACTCCCCCCCGTGTCCGACCCCTTCAAACTTGGTGATACTATCACCCTATCAGGGTTGCTGACGCACAATTTATCACAATCTTACGTGTTGACCCTTGTGACGTCAGGAGTGTTTTTGGCGATGGCGCTGACGTTGGAGATGGCGGCTGCAAGGGGCTGGAAGATCAGCCCATGCTCGACCTCTGCCAGGCTCGCCAACGGCGCAATAGTCAAGCTCAGTGGCACTACCGAGGTCACAGTGCACCGTGATGGTCGAGACTATGAGCTACAATTCTTTGTTCTCCCTGCAAGCGGTGCCTCCACGGGCGTGGACGCCTCCACGTGCATCCTTGATGTCCGGTCCATGTGCGCATTGAAGGTCTCTCTGTGTTTCGACGAGGTATCGGGTTCACGACGTGAACTTCACGTTAGGTCATCGTTCGTACTCCTGTTAAACCCTCGGGTTATTCTTCGTCCCCCGACCTCTCACAGGGTGGCTATCTGAAGTACGTGGCGCTCGCAGAGGAAGACCTTCCCATCACCGACGGTGATCCACCGTTGTTTAGGAGCGCGAGCACGTGGCTTACCGCTGCGAACGAGGCATTGATGAGCTCCTGACTGTGGGTGGACCCGCTCAGGCGAGCGCGTACGCCGGACGCGCGGCGAAAGTGGGGGAGCAATGGCGTCAGGTCAAGGCTACCCCGGAATGCTCGATCCGTCTGCGCCCCCTCGCTGACAGCGAGGCCAAGGATTGCCCTGTTCAGAGTCATACTGTCAAGGTCCGATGGTTATCGTCGCCGCTGGTACGACAGGGGCCCGTACATGACTACTCTCGAAACCTTTTCACACGTCTGACTCAGACGGTCTGAGTCTCTCTCAACAAGAATCCTATCTGGAGGAACTCGAACGCTTCCAAGAACGCGGTTGGTGGCAATCCCTCTCTATCGAGTTGAACGGCGAATAGTCCTGCCTGCCCGAAGCTATCGCCTTTCCGGTGGTACAAGGCCAAAAAGTTTGTGTCGACCTACGACGTGGTATCGCAACGGCTCCGCCGAGTTCACATCCAGGGGACTCATACGCAACCATCCTCGCGCAGGTGCGCGTTGCTCTAGCTGCTATTTCGCTCCGAGCGCGCGCGGAGCAGCTACCTCTTCTCCGTCGCGGCGACGGCGTCGCCTCAGTTTTGAGTAAAAATTGAAAAACCGTAAAAACTGTTTACACTCTCGACGCGGCCACCGCTTTCTATCGGGTGAGACTGTACGATCATACAGCGATCATAAGGTTTCTCGGCCGTCACTTCGCGGCACGCCGACTACTTTTCGGCCTACGCTGCGGGCCGGCTGTTCTCCGCGAAGCCCTTTCTTGCCTGATTGAAGCCGCGAT